GATTCATACTTTGCCTGAATCCCTCAAGTCACTCTATAGGTCTATCCTAGCCAACCATCACTATACCAAATCGCAATCAAAATGCCATTACGAATCGGAATGGCAGTGAAATGTGTGGCGCATCCTAAAATCGAGTTTAATCAATAATGAATACTCAATTATTTCAGGTTCAACAATCGAACATTGGCTATTGGTATTCAAGATTGTTTTAATTGTAAATGATTCAGGGATTCGGATGAGACTCCAAGATTTGTCCGTGTGGAAGTGATCCTGAATAGTGCGGTATTCTGTGTGACGTTCACCGATGCTGAATACTACCCACCGCCAATTCGGATAGATAATCAGTCGGATGTGAGTGAAACTTCGTATTCACTTCCTTGTTTTTTCGTTACAAACGAAGAACCTGTTTGAGAATGGTAATTTGTAAATGTTAAGGTCCCAGTGCTCTATCAACAGCAATCAGAAGGCCCAATAGGACAGCATCTCAGGACGATCTGCAAGGCTCGAAGTCATATCGATTACGCCTGGGATGATCTTTACGGCAGCCGGCGGATTGTGCTACAGGTATGATTTACCCTTCGTAAGCTGATTGGGCGAAACTAATAGCAAGTGGTTCCGCATATCACAGAAACAGTTATGGGTCCAGCCACGAATTACCCTTCGCGTAGGCCTCGTATGGTCAACCGATACATTGAGATGCCACTACAGTGTAAGGAGGCATGGAATGAGCCCACCATGAATAGTTGTTTTCTTCCTAAATCGATCACTAACCAATCACTATTGGTTAAAAAAAGACAGCCATAGGCGGGCTCATTCCGCCCCTCGTGAAACCGCCCCGACTGATTGCGGCGATATCAACTATATTAAAAGCGTAGCAGTCTTGTGCGACTAAGAATCCCTCTACCACCTACCGTAATAATCTCTGCTTATCCTCAAGTGTGATCTGTATGCATCCTTCGCCGTTTAGGTGTATGAGAATAAAAGTCATGTGTACGATCCATCAATGCCAGGAATCGGTCCACAACTCGTCTATGAGAACAACGTGTATATTCAACTAGCTGCTTCATTTACTGAGTTCGTAGTTTTCACATTAGAGGATGGAATGAACTGATTCATTTGATTTTGTTTTCAGCTTCAATGTGACCGGTAACAAGAAGACGGATGAGTGCGAGTTGGTATTGGAAACAATGCAGAAAGGGAAAGTCATGCTCAACAAGCAGAACAGGATTGATGCCAAGTGGGTTATTTATTCGCTGTCGTTCCGCTTTACGGACAACATTTTTCACACAGTATTTTCCCTTGAATCTTCTTTTTTGTTCACCAGGCCTGCCTAACCTTACTTGTAATGACCCCAAAATAGAGCTCCCATTTCATGCTACTCGTCCAGTAGCATCGTTTTCTGGATTTGGCAAGTAGCCCAATCGTTTTCTGGATTTTGAGACGCAATTTGTTGGGGCGGATTCCTGCGAATAAAGAGAGGTTAGTCACTGGAGAGAAATTTCGCCTCCTTGGCCGACTTTAGCTTACGATTTCCGCGTGAAATAGCCATAAAAGTTGATCGACTCGCGAACCCTTTTCCATGCTATCATTTATATTTTCTCAGAAGACTTTCTCCACTTAAACAATTTTTTTGCTATTGCGTTTCCGGTGCATACGGTCACACATGCGTATGATCAGTCTACTACCTCAAGTCATTGCCCTTGGCGCATTACAGAAAGGTTCTTGGTTTGAAAGTCAAGTGCTTCCCCATGTCCTTTCAATTACGTGCTGTTGTGGTCAAGATTGCTCGTGTGAGAATGTTAACAATTCTTTCAGCAGCGGCAATCAGCTGTGGGTGATGTGCCGAGATGGGTGTATAGAAAACGTCGGCATGTCATCTTCGTTCGAAGACGTCGAATGGTTTAGGTGACTTGTAGTATTATCGACAAAACTTGGGATTACTAACCGGTATTGTCACCTTAGGTTACTGGTATGTTGCTGAGCAACGGATGGGTTTAGCAACTATGATGACCCACGAATCGTCAGCTTCTGTGAATCCGCGTATCAAGAAGTGGACATTTCGTCCAGGTATGTGTTGATGGTTCTCTTTTATCAGTAGGCCGTGTATTGTTGGAGAATCTGTCGGCCTCGCGGAGAGGTGAAAAGTAAGGAAAATCTGATGCCATCGAAAACTGTTGTCCCAATCCGCTGTCTCTCCAAAAAAGTTGGCATTGGGATGGGCAAAGTCCGCCAGTTCTCGCTGGTCCTTCGATGTTTATTCTTCAAAATCACGGTTCTCATATCCGCGAAGTATGAGCACAGCCAGAGGGTGCACGTTCAGCTTCCGCCGTCCGAACTACGCCATAGTAGTAATAGGGCACGTCGTACCTCGGAGATCCCAGCGAGCGGGGGGGGGGGGATGGTAATTGCCTTTGAAAAAATTGTTTTCGCTTAGGGACTCTTTAAAATCACCGGTTTTCTCGTTTCTCATGTTTTCTATATTCCTCTCCCCGGTCGACAGCAGTTTTCGGTGCGAAGGGTGGAGGGATCTGGGGGGAAAAACTTCTGTTAACTAGGCAGAGGTGGTAGTTTAGCACGGGAGGGAGGGGGGGGCGGTCTGGAAGGGAAGTTCAGAGCAGGAAATTTCACGGCGAAGGCCACGGTATTCTGCAACAATTGTTCAATGGTCAGGACGCTCGCATTGGTAGTAAATAATAGTAAATGCTTCATTTCAGGATGGACGACTGTGGTGTGAAGGCTTGCCGAACATGGCGGTCACTCATCAGGCTCCCAATATATTCCTTTCTAAAAATGAAGCTGACGAAGATGACGTCATGCCATCGTCATCACAAGTGAGCGAAATTTGCCCTTTTTTTTCACAGAAATAACACTTTTAGCTCATCCCTAACCCTTTTTCATTTAGGTGTGGAGGATTCAGCGACAGCGGCCAGGTAGTGGAACGTTGGAAGTAGAGTGCCTACACAGTGGGCCGACGCTGGTGAGTCGTTTCTGCGATGATAGCTGCCTTATAATTGGTGCTCTTCAAGACCCCATTTGTTTTCAGGTTGTCCGTATCACCGACAGAGAAAAGATTCGTATGGACCCCCTATCGATGCCTGTCCTTACGAAGCAGCTATTTTTCATTTTTTCTTTTTTTTTTTTTTTTTTTTTGACCAGGTATGATTTCCTCTACGTGTAGGTTGTTGGATTCCGTTTTTCACTGAAGTCGGACAACAGGCGCTTGCCGTACTGTGGGTTCCTGTGTAAAAGTTACCTTTGGAAGCTTGAGTTGAGTTGAGCTTACGTTTCATTGACCCATTTTTCGGATTTCAAGCTATACATATGTTTATCAAAATCTGTCACCGGCAGGAATTTTGGCTAGAAACGTGTCCTCGGCGGAAGTTTGACCTCCTGAACGCAAATTCGTCGAGATCCCTGCAGAATGTATGGGTCTATGTCTGGAGAGTGCAATTGAAGCGCAGCCAGTGCGGCCTTTTCCATCCAATGATGCCATCCTGGTTCCGCTGTGATCGATGCTGAAGGCTACCCTAGCTACGCTCCAGTTCAGGTCCCCGTTATACACCCTATCCCTTGCTGGGGTCACGACTGCACCCTTATGCTCTTGACGTGTAAGCTCCCAGCTCTCGCACCCCAGATAAGACCGCGAAAACACTTCTGATCACTGGGTTCGCAGAAAACTTGTTTATGGGAATGGTTTTGGTTCTCAGAATACAAATTTCGAGTAAAATTGAGCCTGCAATCTGAAAAGGGAGGGGAAAGGGGTAAAATTGAGCCTGCAATCCGAAAAGGGAGGGGAAAGGGCTAAATAGTGCCTTCAGAATATCATGATGTCTGTTACTTTCAGCTGGAATGGAAATCAATGTGACGATGCGAGCCGGTATTGGTATATCGCTAGTGAATGGATCGCATGAAGAGCTGCTATATGCCCGGTTTGGTGGGATCGTAGTAAGCGCACGTCGTATGGATGAGACTTATCAGATGACTGGAAGTGTCGACGTCATCCAGGTTACTATTGTAATTATTAGAAGTCCTGCAGTTTCAGCTGTCTCTAAATACTCACACTGAGCTGAAAAATAGGTGTTACTCTTCCGATGATGCGACCTTTTTATATATTTCAGTGGTCGAAGATCCCACCAAGAAGTTTTAAGATACCTCATCTGGGCGAAAATTTATAGTACTATTTTAGAGGTCGAAAGGTTCCACCCAAAATTCGGAGCGTGC